AGAGAGAGAGAGAGAGAGAGAGAGAGAGAGAGAGAGAGAGAGAGGGAGCGAGAGAGAGACGGGGGATGAAAGAAAGCGATGCCTCGCTCTCCCTCCATCGCATCGCGCCGCGTCCACAATTAGCGATTATTTCACTGGGCGACCCGTCTCGTCCGCCTGTCCGCGCGCTCCGCATGTACACTTCACTTTCTTCCCTCCCCGCCTCCTCCTCCGGCGCGCACTATAACGCGTTCCCAGGCACTTCGGCGCCTTCTTCCGGTCACAGAAACACCAGGACGACGACAGCTACAGCCAGCAGTCATCCCCCTACCCCCTTTTCCTCCCAACCCATTTTCTTTAACATACGTACTTTCATTTTACTTTTCAATTATTTTTATTCAGTTTTTTTGCTGTTTATTTTTTTTAATTATCTTGCGGGATCGAATATAATTCATTCCCCGCTGCTGCTGGTGTCCGCTTGATCCCGATTATGGTCGCGAGCGTTCTAATGCACCGTATACGACGGCCGCCCCCGGCGCCCCCAGCAACACATGTTGGACGTGGACCAACAGGCGCCGCGCTCGCTCGCACGCACGCACGCACGGACCGACGAGCGACACCTGCAGCCGTGGCGAATGTTAATGAGTCGGCAGAGAGCTTGGCGCGCGGGACATGACGGCCGCCGGGCGCCTCTTGGCGGGCCGCTCGCGGAAACACTCAACCACCACCACCATAATACATGTAACGACTAAAATTAATTTCCGTACCGAAAATTCGACGACAAAGGCATTCTGGAAAAGCTAACTACTTTATCAAAAGGCAGAAGAAACAATTGTATTTCTGCCAGAGCACAAGCAAGCAAAGATCCGCAAGGTGAAATTCCATACGGGATCAGTTTTAGTCGCATTAGTTGACCAAGGATGACGAGAGAGAGAGAGAGAGGAGCGAGAGAGAAGGCGTCTTCTGTACTGGACTTCTAGTACGCTTGTTAAGCCTCAAAAAAGGGCCCGAGCTTTCACTTTACCGTAGAGAAAAACCGTTTGGAGGGTATGTAGTACATACCCATAGGACACTTTTAAGAAGTGGTGCCCAAGCCTACTCCGCGTGGGGACCGCTCTACGGAGGGTTGCATACCCAGCAGGGGCATGGCTTAAAAATAGCCTTCAACATGGTCTGTCGACCGGGAAGGGGTCGAAATGTATTCTCTCATGTAAACTGCACTAGAAAATTACTTCCCGAAAGTGATTAAAGCAGGTTGCCTTCCTCTAGGCGACAAAATATCACTAAAACCCTAAAGATACACTAAAACGTAGGGTTTTGTTTCATTCATCCACGTCGGAGTGTCTGTGCATGAATGTGCGTATGTGTGCGCGTGTTGTGTGCGTGCTTGTGCAGGGCACCGGTGGGGTAGGCTTAAGTCAGTTTTTTCGGGTGTTAAAGAGTTGGTATTTTCCAAAGAAGTTCTGGAAATCAACTTTTGACGCGTGTCGTGCAGCATTCGTCAACTGCCTTGTTATACGGTATGTGAACGCTACTGAAGTTGAGTGTGTTCGTTTTGAAGGCTAAGTTAACGTCCTATACCGCTCTAATCAAAGATGGCGGACGATAAAGGGCTTAAATGACTTTTCCTTCAAAAACTCCCGATTTTGACATGCGATGAGTCCCTCCCTACGTTTCATGGGTCGGAGAGCACGAATATAGGCACCAAAAGTCAATGCAGTCAACAGGAGAACCGTAATCCAAGATGGCGGCCGCCCCAGGGCGTAAATATAGACCTTTCGT